TCTTCCTCTGGGCCAAGTCCCGCAAACATGAAATTGTTCCATGGGCTTATGATGAGGGACGGTGGAGGGAGGGTTTATTGCAACTTCGTTGATGCGTCTTGGGCTTACTCTAGTCATCCTCATCCTCTTCACACTCCTCCTCCTCCATGTCCTCCTCGCCCTTCTCCTCCACTCGATTTCACGTCTTCCTTCCTTACCTCCGTACTCCTTTTCCTGCCTCCATTTCCTCCTCTTCCTCCTGTTACTCCTCATCATCCGTTTCGTCTTCCTCCTCCTCCTCCTCCTCCTCCTCCTCCTCCTCCTCTCCTCCTTTTCCGCCTTCTCCTCTTTCTTCATCTGCTCCATCACCTCCTCCTCCTCCTCCTCCTCCTCCTTCTCCTCCTCCGCCCTCATCCCTGCTGCCTCCCCGAACTCAGTTTAAGCCTCCAGCTCGACGGCTCTCACCGTCTGCGTTGCGTCCGCAGCTGAGCACGACTTCGTGTCCATGCCACCGTCCACACCACCACCTCCTCCCTCCCTCCCTCCCAGCTTTCCCCCCCGCCTCCTCCTCCTCCTCCTCCTCCTCCTCCTCCTCCTCCTCCTCCTCCTCCTGTGGAAAAGAAGCGGCAGGCCTGTGCCCTGCAACTGTGCGGAATAGAGGAAGGCGCCTCTCGGCTGTAGAAGAATGGAGAAGTAGAGCATCCAGAGTACGCTGCAGGGCAAGGTGAAGCAAGAAACGTTTCCTCCTCCTCCCCCTCCTCCAGCCGAACGGGCCAGCCCGGGGACGCAGCTGGCGGCCCTGGCGGGAGCCGACGCCAAGCTCTTCGGAGGCGCTCGGCGGTCCGCGTGCCTCCTCGCCGCGGGGCCCTCGACGGCGCACCGCTGCCAATGCCGCGAGGGCCTCGGCGCCCACACTGCGCACAGTGCCGACCTGCAGTGCATCGAGGCAGAAAGCCCGCGCACAAGCAGGTTGCTTCTTAGCAGGCGCCAGCCCTACATAAGAAGCAGGGTTGCCTCTAGGAAGCCTTCCCCTTCACCCTACCTCCATCTGCGCGTGGTCGACCTACGCCTTGCTTTCTCCTCGCCCTCTTCCCGGCAGCGGCCCTCCCTGATCTCTGGCGGGGGCACAGCTGGCACGCGGGCCCCCCGTCGCCGTCGTCGTCCACCCCGTCGTCCACCCCGTCGTCCTCCTCCTCCTCCTCCTCCTCCTCCTCCTCCTCCTTGTCCTCCTCCTCCTCCTCCTCCTCCTCCTCCTCCTCCTCCTCCCAGGGCCCGAATATATATGTATACATCCCTGTCCACAGCCCGCCGAGGCCCCTGGGGCTCGATCCCTGCAGGTGCCGGGTATGGACAGGTCCCCGCCCGGGATTCTTCGGCTTCGAGGTGGGGGCCCTCCGTGGCCTACGGAGGCATCCGGCGGCCCCGCCCCCGTCTCCTCGAAGTCCGCGCGCGCCCGCGCCTGCTGGAGGGCGCTGGCCTCGCTGCGGCCGAAGGTGACCTCTGCAGGGGAGGGGGCGGGAGGCAGCTCCCCTGTAGGGGGCCACATGCGAACCCTACCCCTGCCCCCCGACGATTTCTGAGGGGGAGGGTGGGGTTCACTCCGCTCGGGAGCTCCCCAGCGAAGTGAACCCCACCCTTCCCCACAGAAATCGTGGGAAGTAGGGGGAGGGTTCGCATGTGGCCCCATAGGGGTGGAAGGAGAGGGGGTGGGACGCGCCTTGCGGTCACACTCTAGTGGGGTGGGGCCCGTCGGGGCGGGGGTTGTGCTGCGACTGCCAGGTTTTGCGCGCGAGCACGAGCATGTTGGGGTGAGTCGGGGCCACCCCTCCACATGCGATCGTTACCATTACCCTGGGCTGGTGGTGGTGGAAGTTTGACCTGGCAAACGACCGTTACGCGCCAGATAATAAAACAAAACCAGATACAGCTCGTAAGGTCACCTTGAGATTCTGCATTGCGAAGAAATGTGCAACAGCGCAGAACAAAAACAAAAGCACGACCAGAGCCCAAGACCCCATCTCCCTGCGGCAATCCTCAATCCCGATCGATATGCGAGGGCCCTGGGGCCCGGAATATGGCGACAAATCGCCAGGCACGAAAATAGGACGCCCACTTAGATGAACTTTGGCCCCTTACGGTGTTTATCATATACTGCAAACGCCTTGGATACTTTAGCAAGTGCTACGACAATATCAATGTGGTTTACGCTGTCGCTTCACAATGATGTAGTCGCTCAACCATGCTCTAGCTTGACTCTGTGTACGCGTGTGTAGACTAGGACATGAGCTAGCATGTAGACGATATACTAATAGCGGTGATGATGCTGCTGATGATGATGATGATGCCTATGCTGATGCTGATGCTGCTGATGATGATGATGATGATGGTGATGATGATGATGCTGCTGATGATGATGATGATGATGATGATGATGCGGCCGCAGCCGCGGACGATGATAATGATGATGGTTCTGATGATGAGGATGACGATGGTGATCATGGTAATGATGGTAATGCTTATAATTCTGAAATGAAAAACAAGATAACAACGGTGATGTTGATAATGATGACCTACAAGCAATCCCATGCGAAAACGATGGCTCAGTCCGACCGTGTTGTATTCCGGGTGCTGGGAAAGGTATTATCGCTAGACGCTTGCCGCAGAAACATTGAACGCACCCCAGGATTGCTTCTCTGACATGTGCAAAAGGCCACCAAACTGATTAGAATCAAACCGTCAAACGTTTCCTGCAATAGATCAGACAAACACCAGGAAATAGCAAAGAGACAAATATTTGCAGTGTGGAAGAATGTCCACCCCACTTGGCAGGAGATGCCGCTGGACCCTGGTAGAGTCCCAGTAACTCCCCCGCAGAAGTCTTCAGACATCGCTCGGAAGGTCGCGATTTCATCAGAGCGCTTCGGAAACCAATTCCCAGGAAGGCGGCCCCACAACAACCAAAAGGACGCTGGACTGAGATCACAAGACGCTTCCGAAAATTGTAGCCGAGTCTCGTCCACCAAAACCCCTAAGCCCAGACATGCGACGTCCTGATTGTTTGAATACGGGGACCCTGAAATCCCGACCCTTTCCCCAGGACCGGTTTTTCATCCTGAATCGTTTTTTGACGGTACGGAGGCCCGGCGAGGGCCCCCGAGGCCGAAATTGGCAAAACGACTCCCGTCCTGATTTTTTACGACGCGATCATGTCTGGGAGGTGGGGGAGACGCATGTGGCGTCGCCACTGGAGCCTTAGGCGGATCTCTGTATTGGGACAAGAGAGCCGTGCGAGGGGCATGCCGTACGTGGGCGGGGGGGCGACGCATGCGAACGTCGCCACTGGGGCGTTCTGGTGGGGCTCCCTGTTGGGCCACCAAACCGCGCGAGAGGCGTGCCGAAGTGGGTAGGTGACAGCACGGATGGGGTGATGACGAGGAGAAGGGAGAAGCAAGGAGGAGGAAGGAATGACTCTGGTCGCTGCCTTTTCAAAGATGTTGAAGGGGAAGACCCTAAACTCTTCAAAACTTCAACGGCCCGCCGCCGAACGGGAAAGGCATAACCCCTCATAAATGGCAGCCCGTTTCCAATCGGGCGTGGTGCTGTCACACGTTCCATTTGACCTAACACCTGCAGCAACGACGCGAGCTGCCGCTCAACGCCGTCGCACGAGAAAGAGACGCGCGCGAGCTGCAGAAACGCGCGCGCGAGCGCCAGGGGCGCGGTTCATTTTCATCGCCGTGGCCATCGTCCAAAGCATCGTCGCCGCCATCCATCGTCACATCATTTTTGCCCCGCCGACCCGCCCAAAAACTGTTCATGCCCCTCCCCCCCTTCATCTCGCATCGCATCGCGCCTCATGGTTCCCACTCTTCGTCTTCAGATGCCCATGCGAACGCCTCGAAGAACCTTCAAAAACAAATAGGCAAACCGCAATCGCTGAAAAGAAAAACACGGCTGCGTATTGCGACTCGCTGTTGTGTTGGAGGAACCCCCAAAAAACATGGTAGAACGGAAATGAACACATCTCGAAATATGCGATGTTGGGGCATGATGGACAGAGCGAACTGGCACTCCATATTATGTCTGTTCTCATGTTAAGAGCTGCGGTGCCGACAACTTAACTTTTAAGGTAATTTGCGCTGCTCATCATTCAGGGCTGCGGAGCACAACAAACATGTTCAATGTTACCCCGCGCGCAGGCCCAGGCTTGCGAGACATGACAAAGATGTTCAACAGTTTCATCACTCAGAACAGCGTCGACATCTTACGTATGTTGAGTATATGAGCTCGTGTTCAAGCATGTTACGTTGTTAGTAAACTTATAATGGAAACGTCAATGCACCGAATTATGTTTAAGCTGGATTGGGGTGTTTGCGCTTTGGTCCCTGTCATGTAGGATTCGGTCGATTGAACGGAAGCATGCTCTTTCGACTTGGTATCACACTTGCAAATGGTTGAACGTGGGTATACGTGGCTGAACGTTGCTACAAAATGATGGCCACGCTTATACGTATAATATAACATACCTGGGCTTGTCTCTTAGCAGGTGCGTGCTGTAATCATATGTAACTGGGTACAACAACAGACAACCACATTTCATCTAGACTGATCTCGGTCGCCGACTCCGTATGGCGTGGTTTGATCCAGGTGCGGCTTGCGACCCGCATCAGCGGGGGCGGGCGAAGACCTCCACAGAAACTTTCCGCCGCTCCCCGAAGAGACGCGACGAGGGCAACATGGTGCCGCCCAGTCTCCAACAACGCAGATCGCAAGCCACACCCGGGCGCAACCACACTCTTTGTAGTCGCCGACCCGAAACATGCGAGTCCTGATTTTGAAATACAAATGGGTCCCTAGAAGTCCCGACCCTTTCCCTTGGACGAGTTTATCGTCTGATTCGTTCTTTGTCGGCCCCGAAGCCCGGCGAAACCCCCCGAAGCCGAAACTGGCCACCAAACTCCTGTCCGGATTATTTCAATCGACGCGAACATGTCTGGGGGTCAGGGTCTTCAATTTCAGCCCTGCGCCCTGGGCCCCGCCTTGTGCTGCAAGTTGGGAAACTCCGATTGGCGCCGGGCGCCGGCCGCCGGCCCCCGGGCGGAGTCCTGCAGGATGGACTCAGACCTGCGGCGAGGCCTCGGGCAATCCGTGCGCGGGCGCCGCGATGCCCGCGCAAAGGGGATCGGACCTCCTTCGAGCAAGACCCGACCACCCTGGCATTCTTATAGGCCTACCACGGGAAGGCTCTTAGAGCAACACAACGTTCGGAGAGAAGACCGCGTTCTTATCACAGAAAGCCGATGTACAACACTGGAACGGTCTGAACCCAGAAATGTTCGAATGACCTCTCGTGCAAACCACGGAAAGTTCTTTCAATTTTTCTTGGTGGGCCCATACTGTCAGCTTGTGATTAACGAAAACGCGAACGGGGCGCGTGATTGAAAAAGTGTTGCCCTGCTCGGGCGAATCGCGGGGGGCGCGCCCGCCAAATGTAAACACACGGCGACGGCGGCGGCGATTAACGCGGACACCCGGCAGACAGGAGGAGTGCGAGAAACGCGACACACGCGGCGCCGTTTGACCGGAAGGGGACAGCAGCGCCTCCGTTATAGCGGGGCGGCTGGGCCAAAATAGCTACAGCCAGGAGAGAAAAAAGAAGAGGGGGAAAGAGGCGCCTCAGCTGGCGGGCGGTGCCGACACGGCTACAAGCAAAAAAAGAAAGTGGGGAGGAGCGGAGGAGGCAGGCGGAAAGGGCTTTTCCGTCCTTTAATCCTCCTCTTCCCCCGTCCAATACAATGTCCTACGACGACGACGAAAACACCGACGACGGCGACGACAACGACGAAAATAACGACGCCGACAACGACGGCGACGACGACGACGACGACGACGACGACGGCGACGGCGGCGGCGGCGGCGACGGCGACGGCAACGGGCGACGGGGACGGCGAACGACGACGCACTGCGCATGCTCCATGGGAGGGGGGGGGCGGGAGTGCTGCTCATGCCCGCTGTGCTCCTCGACGGCGGCGACGACGGCGGCGACGACGGCGACGGCGACGGCGACGGCGACGGCGACGGCGACGGGCGACGGCGACGGCGACGGCGACGTCGACGACGACGACGACGACGACTACGGACAACGACGACGCTCTGCGGGTGCCCCAGGAGGGGTGTGCTGCGCTGCGAGCCTCGCTGCAGTCGACGACAAAGACGACGACGCCGACGACGAACACGTGACGACGACGGCGACGACTACAACGCACTGCAGATGCCCCAAGGGGGGGTGATGCGCAGGCCCGCGGTAGTCGACGACGACGACGACGACGACGACGACGACGACGTCGACGACGACGACGACGACGACGACGACGACGACTGCGACGACGACGACGACGAAAACACGAAGACGACGACACGACGACGGCAACGACGACGACTCTGGCATGTCAGTAATCAGCCTGAAAGGGGGGAAATATTCGCCTCGGGTATATACGATGCCTCTAGCAACTTCCGCGCGAAACGCAATCGTTGTGGGTCTGCCGTGCAGGGGAATACGCGATCCCCTCGGTGGCTCCCGCGAGGACCCCCTGGCGCGCGTGACTTCAACAGTACATCGTGCCCCGCGGGGTCTATTCATCTGCCCCGAGGGGCGGGGGGGCCCGTCCTCTGTCGAGCACAAGCTGGCACTGCTCGAGACCTGCGGCGGCCTCCCTCCTCACGAGCGGCGAGCACATCCTCGGGAGCGGCCAAGAGGGGGGTGTCCAAGAGGGGGGGGTGCAAATCATGACCGGCGGCATGTGCGCGGCCCAGCGGGGGGGCCTGGGACGTAATGAAACAAGAAGAGGCGCCATGAAATCTGGGGAAAAATCATGGCCCGCGCCATGAAATCCACCCCCCCCTAGTCATCACCCCCCTCTTTTCCGCTCCCGACATCCGTATCCACCCCCTCGCGGTCTGGAGCCCGGGGCGCGATCCCGCGGCCGCACGGATGCCGTCCGCGCGGGGGCCTCCGCGCAGAGACGCCCCGCCGCCGCGGGGCATGCAGAGCCCAGGGGCCGGGCCCGCGAGGCCGCCGAGGCTAAGAGGCCTCCCACATGGGGTCCGAGCAGATGGGGCCGAAGGATCGCGCCGCGCCGCACCACCAGTGCTTCGCCGATGCATCGATGATGCGTCGGCGATGCATCGGCGACGTCGGCGTGAGGAAACACGGGCTCCACATCGAGCCGCATCGGCGATGCATCGGCGATGTGGCGCGATCCTCCGACCCCATCGAACCCGACCCCATCTGTAGGAGGCCTCGAGAGGCGGATGTGTTCTGCGACCACGGCCGCTCTCCTCTCTTCCTTCTCAGCTCTCCGACGATCTGAGCTTTTCCTTAATGTTAGGTCGGGCACGTCCTCCTACAGGTGGAATTTGGACGACTCTTTGCAAACCCGAAAAATCAAACATTATTAAAAATGGTGGAAAATATTTGAAAAATCGTCCCCACACTATTTTTGGACTGTTTCGGGATATCCCTTCTGTAGAGAGACATGCCCGACTCAACCCTAGTAGCGTTTCGCTGCTCCAGAGTAAAAGGGGGACGCAGAAGAGTCCCACAAAGGGGGGGGCGGCGAACCGGAGGACGCCCGGTCTGGCAACCGCTTCACCCGGGACTTCCTCACAGTGGATTCTGGAACGGTGCTCTCGCCTCGGTGCCGGCTGCAGGCTCGGTCCGCATGGCCACGCGAAGCCTTCCCAAACCACACGCGCACACCCCAGTGCTTAACGGGCGAAGAACGGTACAAAATTACCCTGGCGACGTACCCAACCCCTGCGCAAAAGCGGGGCGCAAATAGTTTAGGATACTTTATAAGGGGGCGATGACGGAGCGAGGGTTACATATGTCTGCAGACGGAATTCGGGAGACTCGCAGGACACTGGCTACAGGAAAAGGGCTTGATAAAGCTGATGATTTACAATTCCTGAGCACTCCTAGCCACTTCGAAAACGGGGATCACAGCAGGCCTCGAAAGTGGCGACAGGTTCACAGATCGCAGCCCCGCAGGGATGGCGAGGTCTCATTTGAATCTGCCCGTGGCCCTCACTGTGCTGGGCCCCCCAGCAGGCCTCGAAAATGGCGGCAGTTTCGCAGATCGCAGCCCCCCAGGGATGGCGAGGTCTAATTTGAATCCGCGCGTGGCCCTCACTGTGCTGGGCCCCCCAGCAGGCCTCGAAAATGGCGACAGTTTCGCAGATCGCAGCCCCCCAGGGATGGCGAGGTCTAATTTGAATCTGCGCGTGGCCCTCACTGTGCTGGGCCCCCCAGCAGGCCTCGAAAATGGCGACAGTTTCGCAGATCGCAGCCCCCCAGGGATGGCGAGGTCTAATTTGAATCCGCGCGTGGCCCTCACTGTGCTGGGCCCCCCAGCAGGCCTCGAAAATGGCGACAGTTTCGCAGATCGCAGCCCCCCAGGGATGGCGAGGTCTAATTTGAATCCGCGCGTGGCCCTCACTGTGCTGGGCCCCCCAGCAGGCCTCGAAAATGGCGACAGTTTCGCAGATCGCAGCCCCCCAGGGATGGCGAGGTCTAATTTGAATCCGCGCGTGGCCCTCACTGTGCTGGGCCCCCCAGCAGGCCTCGAAAATGGCGACAGTTTCGCAGATCGCAGCCCCCCAGGGATGGCGAGGTCTAATTTGAATCCGCGCGTGGCCCTCACTGTGCTGGGCCCCCCAGCAGGCCTCGAAAATGGCGACAGTTTCGCAGATCGCAGCCCCCCAGGGATGGCGAGGTCTAATTTGAATCCGCGCGTGGCCCTCACTGTGCTGGGCCCCCCAGCAGGCCTCGAAAATGGCGACAGTTTCGCAGATCGCAGCCCCCCAGGGATGGCGAGGTCTAATTTGAATCCGCCGTGGCCCTCACTGTGCTGGGCCCCCCAGCAGCCTCGAAAGTGGCGACAGTTTCACAGATCGCAGCCCCCCAGGGATGGCGAGGTCTAATTTGAATCCGCGCGTGGCCACTGTGCTGGGCCCCCCAGCAGGCCTCGAAAGTGGCGACAGTTTCACAGATCGCAGCCCCCCAGGGATGGCGAGGTCTAATTTGGGTCCGCCCGTGGCGTCACTGTGCTGGGCCCCCCAGCAGGCCTCGAAAGTGGCGACAGTTTCGCAGATCGCAGCCCCCCAGGGATGGCGAGGTCTAATTTGGGTCCGCCCGTGGCCACTGTGCTTCTGGCTGGCTGGGTGGCGACAGTGCTTTCGAAAGTGGCGACAGTTTCACAGATCGCAGCCCCCCGCAGGCAAGACAGGAAGAGGCGGGAGGCGGGAGGCGGGAGAAGGGACGCGACCACACTGCTCTATTCAAAACGAATACGCAACCAGGGAGGGTTGGGAATAAACTTTTTCGCCGTCGGGGACACCTGCCCCTGGGCGGCTGGAAAGTTTATACCCCTACGGTGGCACCGTAAGGGTAGAAACTTTCCAGCCGCCCTGGGGCAGGTGTCCCCGACGGCGAAAAAGTGTATCTTATACCGTTCTTCGCCCGTTAACCAGTGCACATGGCCGGGCTCTCACCCCTGTCCCAGCTGCATCTTGGACCCTCCCCCCGACCTCCTGCTCCTCGACCCGCCTCCTCACCTTTGCTGCGATCAGGGCGCTCTGCAGGGCTGGACCTACACGTTTCTTTTCGTGTCGTTGTTCGTTTTGCGTTTTGCTCCACCTGCTTTCCTGCACCCCCCTGCCCAAACGAAAAACAAAACACAGCCGAAGTCCGGCAAAACAGCGTCTAGGTCCTGCCCTGGTGCTCTGCTGGGCTAATGCCACCCGGGCGTCTTTCCTTGCTTTCACCCCTGGGGCCCACTGCCGAGCCCGAGGACCCTAACGACTGGACCCGGAGCGAGACGGCGATCCATCGGTGCATCGGTCCGCGGCGCGGCGAGCAGGAGCCCGATCTGGGGCTCGCCTAGGAGCGGCACACGCCGTTGCCGAAGCCGGCCTCAAGGCAGCGGTATGTCTCAAGGGCCGCAACCGCCACCGGGGCCAACACATCCGTGCGTCGGGCAACGAGAGCAGCAACAAACAAGAAAAAGCACTGGCAGCCTGGCGAAGCACGGCCCTCAGAGCACGGGTGCGCACAGGAGCGGGAACTCGATGTCGGCGGCGTTCGGCAAAAAGCGAGGACGGGGAACACGAGGGTTGTGGCCCCAATGGCTCTCGACCCTTCGGGGCCCCAGACCCGGGCGAAAACGGGCACCCCCCCCAACAAAAAACAAACATCGCCGACCGCATCACTCCGAAGATGACGGCAAGAGCCCAGCATGTCCGCCAGCAGTCGCGTGCAAAAATCTCCGATGAGAGAAACTAGTTCTAGTTCGCGTGCGAGGGTCGGTCCCCAGGTGCCCCCAGACGAAAGGTCCCACGAAGGAAGCGATATTGATCGTTATTAGGTTCTCCCGTGATTCTCGACCCCTTGCCTTTTCGGGCGCCTGTCGGCTCAAGACGGCACAAACGGCCTTCAGGATAGCTCCAAGATCGCGACAGAGACCCCCGACATCGCCCCAAGTCAGCCCAAGAGGCTCTCTGGACGGCAGCAGGGCGGCCCTCGTGAGGGGGAATCCGAACTGACATGCCGAGCCGTCTCCGACAAACATGACCCCTAGACCGCCAGCAGGCCCCCGTGGGGCCCCCCAAGGGCCCTGGAGACCCAAGAAACTGCCCGAAGAGAACTCAGAAGGTGGTCTCAGCAATGCCGCTCTCCCGAGAGATGCCAAATCGCCTCTTGAAGAGGCGTCTTGTTCACGGCACCGTCAGGTCCCAAGAGATGCCTCCTCATCCTCTCTTCCTAATCCTCCTCCTCCTCGTCTTTCTCGCACGGCACGAACACATCAACACATAGCAACAGCATGCAACAATGATGTAAAATGGGCCGGCACAGTGAGCGACGCGATTGCATACGACAATGTTTACCCGAGACGTACCGAACCCGTCTCCACGAGAAGCGACTATTTCTATGAACACATCGCGACGTATGCACAATCTGCGCTGCCCTGCACTCTGCCGTGCCTCCCAGGGTCCCACGAAAATTGCGGCAATTGCGCAGTTCTCAGCCTCCGACGAAGCCACGAGGTCTCGCCTGAATCTGCGCTGCCCTGCACCCGTCGTGCTTCCCAAGGGCCCAAGAAAATGAGGGCGATTGCGAAATTTGCAAGTCCCAGAAGGAGCCGCGATGTCTCGAAGTGATCCGCGTGGCCCTCACCTTCGCCGGGCCCCCCAGGAGCCGACGAAAGTGGCGACCATTGCGAAGTTCGCAGCCCCCAAGGGAGCCGCGAGCGACAATTGCACAATTCAAAGGCCCCAAAAGGAGCCGCGAAATCTCGAAATGATCCGCGCGCCCCTCACCTCCGCCGTGCCTCCCAGGAACCCGCGAGAAGTCGAAGCCCCGAACGAGTCGCGAGTTCTCAAAATGATCCGCGTGGCTCTCACCTCCGCCGCGGCCCCCCCAGGAGCAGACGAAACTGTCGACCGTTGCGCATTCCGCAGGCCCCGAGGGAGCCGGGAGGTCTCGAAAGGATCCGCGGTGCCCTCACCTCTTCACCTCTGCCGTGCTTAGAAAGAAGTGGCGACAATCTTCCACATCTTGCCCTCACGCCTTGCCCTCACAATCTGCAGTGGCTTCACGTTGTGGCTCACATCTGCCATGCCCTCGCATCTCACAAAAGTTGCGATCATGGCGCAGACCGCAGCCCTCGAGGGAAAGTGGCGACAATTGCGCCAAGGGAGCCGCCAGGTCCCAAATGATTGACGAAGGCCTCACATCCGCCGAGCCTCCCAGGAGCCCACGAAAGTGGCGCCAATTGCCAAATTCGCTGCCCACAAGGGCGCCGCGAAGTCCAAAATGAGCTGCGCTGCCCTGCGCTCCGCCGTGCCTCTCAAGAGCCCACGAAAGTGGCACCACTTGCGCAACTCGCAACCTCCAAGAAACCGCGAGGTCTCGACATGATCCGTGTGGTCCTCACCTTCGCCGTGCCTCCCAGGAGCCCACGAACGTGGCAACAATGGCGCAGATCGCAGCCCCGTGCAGTAGGGAGCCGCGAGGTCCCAAATGGTCTGCGCTCAACTCGCCTGCGCCGTGACCCCCACGAGCCCACGAAACTGGTGAGACACTGCAACTCCAAAGGAGCCGCAGGGACCCGAATGATCGGCGCTGCCCGCACCTCCGCCGTGCCTCCCAGGAGCCTAAGAACGTGGCACCACTTGCGCGATTCGCTGCTTTCACGGGCGCCGCGAAGTCCCAAATGATCTGCGTTGCGCTCGCCTCCGCCGTGCCTCCCAGAAACCCACGAAAATTGCGACAATGCACAATTCGCAGCCCTCGAGTGAGCCGTGATGTCCCGAATGATCTGTGCTGCCCTCACATCCGCCGTGCCCCCCAGGAGCCCACGAAAATGGCGCCTGTTGCGCAGTTCGCTGCCCGAGGGAGCCGCGAGGTCCCAAATGATTTGCGTTCAGCCAACCTCCGCCATGCCTCCCAAGAGCCAAAAAAGGCGGTGACGGCTGCCCAGTTCGAAGCCCCCAAGAGGACGCACACGATGCAAGAGGACACACATGATGCAAGAGGTAAGCAGAGGAGGGATTGGGGAAGGAGACGCGCGAGCAGTGCTCTATTGAACACAGGGACCCAACACTGGAGGGTTGGGGAAGTACCCTGCGACGTACCCAGACTTTCCTACACATGTGGTGACAAGGCACACGACCGATCAACACAAACGAACATGGTGAAGGACCCGCATGGGTCCACGAACGTGGCGACAATTGCGCAGCTCGCAGCCTCCAAGGGAGCCGCAAGGTCTCGGCTGGGTGCGTTTACCACTCCACTCCGCTGGGCCTCCGCGGAGCCCACGAAAGTGACGACAATTGCGTTGCGCAATTCGAATCCCCCCAGGGGGCCGCGAGGTCTCGGCTGTGTGTGTGTGTGTGTCTACCACTGCGCTCCGCTGGGCCTTCCAGGAGCCCACGAAAATGGCGTCACTTGCGCACGTCGCAGCTCCCCAGGGGGCCGCGAGGTCTCGGCTGGGTGTGCCTACCACTGCATTCCGCTGTGCCTCCCAGGAACCCACGACAATGGCGACGGTTGCGCACTTCGCAGTCTCCCAAAGGAGCCGCGAGGACGCGGCTGGGTGTGTTTACCACTCCATCCCGCTGGGCCTGCCAGAAGCCCACAAAGTGGCGACAACTGCGTCAAACAACCTTCCAAGCGGAGGATGGCGGGGTTTGGGGGGTCTGCGTGTGACCCCACTGTGCTGGCTCACCCAGCAACCTTCAAAGGTGGCGACTGTTTCACACTTTGCTGCCCCCCCCCTCCCCAGGGATATCGAGGTCTTCTTTAGGTCTGCGTGGGACCCCGCTGTGCTGCCCCCCCCAGCAGCCCTCGAAAGAGGCAACAGATCGCACTGCGCAACGCCCCCAGGTATGGCGAGGTCTTTTTAGGTCTACGTGGGACCCACTGTGCTCCCGCCCCCCCCCCCCAAGCAGCCCTCGAACGAGGCAACATATCGCACTTCGCAACGCCCCCGGGGATGGCGAGGTCTTTTTTGGGTCTGCGTGGGACTCCACTGTGCTGCCGCCCCCCAGCAGCCTTCAAAAGTGGCGACAGTTTCACACTTCGCAGCCCTCCCCCCCCCAGGGATGGCGAGGTCTTTTGGGGGTCTGCGTGGGACCCTACTGTACTGCCGCCCCCCCAGCAGCCATCGAAAGTGGCGACAATTTCGCACTGCGTAGCCGCCCAGGGATCCCGCACTGTGCTGCCCCCCACAGCAGCCCTCAAAAGTTGCGACGGGTTCGCACGACGGCTCGGCAGGGGGTATGCAAACAGGCAAGAGTAGACAGGCGTCAGACCAGAGGTGGAGGGAGATGGGGAGGCGAGGTGGAGGAGGAAGAGAAGAAGGTGGAGACCCCACTGCTCTATTCAAAACGAGAACCCAACCGAGAGAGGGTTGGGAGAAAACATGAAGCAGGAAGGAGGTTCAAACAGCTTGGGATCACGCCCGCCTCCTCCCACTTCTAACTTCATCCTCTTCCATCCTCCTTTCCCCCTCCTCCACCTTCTCCTCCGCATCCTCCTCCTTCGACGGCAGACTCATAAGCGAACATAACTGCCCCGCTACGCAACACGCAACACGTACCAGCGTACCGATACGGAGCTCAACGCGTAGACTGAAAACGTAGGTCTAACGCGATGCGTTCACCAAAACCTTGGACAATACGCTGACCAACGCGCAACGTATGAACACGCAAATTTTGAACACGCCACGTGCTGGGTTACAAAACGGGCGCATCAGGGCAGCTATGTACGCGAAGCGTCGAGAGTTTCCTCGCCCTCTGCCTACCTCTCGCCCTCCTCTTCCTCCTCCTCCTCCTCCTCCTCCTCCTCCTCCTCCTCCTCCTCCTCCTCCTGTTCCTCGTCCTCGTCCTCGTCCTCGTCTTCGTCTTCGTCCTCCTCCTCTTCCTCCTCCTCCTCCTCCTCCTCCTCGTCCTCCTCCTCCTTCTCCCCCTGCCTCCTGGCCCTGCTCGCCCTCCTACCTGGCGGGGGCTGGTCGGGACGGTGCCCCTGGCACCGGCGGCCTTGTCGTGAGGCCCCGCGCCACCACCGAGGAGCCCAACGCGCGGGAAGAAGAGGCCACTGATCCTGCTGGCGCCGCGGGGGGAGCGAGACCCAGACATGATCGTATCGTAAAAAAAAATCAGGACGGGAGGTTTTTGGCAATGTTCGGCCTCGGGGGGTCCTCGCCGGCCTCGGGAGCGCCAGAAAACTACTCAGGACGAAAAACCGCTCCCGGGGAAGTGGTCCGGACCTCCTCTGCCCATGCATCGAAAAAGTTGGAGCAGCGGGATGTCTGGGGAGCGCCCGGAACGGCAGGCGTTTGCCGACGGCGGGGGCGTCTACACACCGAGTTTCTTGGCCGACCAACCGACGTGGTGTATACATCGACCCCCCGAGAGGAGGAGTGAGAAGGAGGAGGAGAAGGAGGAGGAGGAGGAGGAAAA